GAAGCCATCTCACCAAGATCAGGAGGATAAAGAGAACTATGGGGTTAATTGGGGCCCCCCTGATACAAACATGAAAAAATCAGGCAGCATTTGGCATTATCAGAATCAGGAGACACTGGGTGGCTATCCCATCCAAGGGGAATTTGCCACTTACTCAGGAGGAGGATATGTTGTCAGACTTGGAAGAAACTCCAGTACTGCAATCAGGTGAGTGAGCCTGAGCCCTGAACAAGATGACCAAGATGTGTGCTTCTGTCCATTCTTAGGACCCTTAGGAATTAAGGACCCATTCAAGTATAGTAGTCCCCCCTTATCCCCGGTTTTGCTTTCGTGGTTTCAGTTACCCACAGTCAACCACGGGTGGAAAATAACACTATATCACAATGCCTACGTCATTCACCTTACTTCATTTCCTCATGTAGGCATTGTCTCATCTCACATCATTACAAGAAGAAGAAGGATGAGTACAGTAAACAAGATATTTTCAGAGAGAGAGACCACATTCACATAACTTTTATTACAGTATATTGTTATTATATTCTATTATTTGTTATTGTTGTTAATCTCTTGCTGTGCCTAATTTGCAAATTAAACTTTATCATGGGTATGTATGTATATAAAAAACAGTATGTAGGGTTCAGTGCTATCCGTGGTTACAGGCATCCACTGGGGGTCTTGGAACGTACCCTCCGTGGATAAGGGGGCACTACTCTAGTTTCAACAGTTACTATAACACCACTGTACTGTCTGTGACATTTGTAGACATTTTTATTTTAGACTTTTAAGGAAATGTATCTTTTAGTGTAAAAATCCCTTGTTCAACCTTGAACTACAGGTATGTTTTGGTTTGGCAATTTGCCAAATCTCATTCCCTTTCTCATCAGGAAAAACACATATCAATTTCAGTGCTAGCTGCAGTTGAACTAAGGTAACTCTAGCTTGGGCAAACTACTCTTCAAATATAGGAGGAAACACTGCCCTTCATGAACCATAATCAATCCAAAATTCAAATCCAAAATTAATTTGGGAGAGACTTATACAGTGGTTTCATATATAAATCCTGAGAATCTTTGTCATTATGTATGAAAAAAACTAAATTAAAATGATTATCTCCACTTAAATTTACTGCAAGAAATTACTCAAAAACAATTATGCCAACCAAAGGACATTTCCATCTCTTCTTAGACCTCTCAAAACTGAATAGCTCTTAGTAAAGAGTAGCATTTAACACTTCAAATGGAAGTAGTTGATGTAGCATATAAAATTAATTCTACCTCAGACCTTAAATGCCAAACTTTATTGTGAATACCGTTGTGAAAACTTTCATTTTTATAGTCTCCTCAATTTATATTGATGTTAACGCTAGTAAAAGTTTGGGCATTAGTAATCATAAACTATTTTACAGGTAAACTAGATTGGGATACGTAGCTCCTTACCTGGTATGTGAGTTGGAAATGCCAGGGCATTTTCCTCCTTTGCAGGGTTGAATGGAGAAAGTAGCTGGCCCCGTCCTTCTCTGTTTCCCCAGAGTTCTGCGGCATCTTGAACAGAGCCACTGGCTAGACCGCTGCACCAAAAGCCTGTTTGTGGAATTTGTGGTCTTCAACGCTAATGTGAAACTGTTCTGCGTAGTAACCCTGATATTGGAATCCAACAACGTGGGTACGAAGGCCTGTTCTCTCCTCCCTCTGTGACCTGGGTATCTCAGGACAAGGCCCGATTTCTTTCTCTTTCTTATGCCATTAAAAGACATTATTTTAATCAAAGTTATTACACTTAAATATAATTTTGAAAGTCAAATAGTTTAAAGCAAAAACTAACATTCCTCTGTTTCTCCCCACCTCATTCCCACTCCCCAGAAACAGCTACTTTCAGCTTTAACTGTTTCTTTTGGAATTTAAAAATTATTAACATGCTTGTTAACTATTTCATGAATCTTCAGTTTTACATAGAATCGATTTCTCTCTTGTTATGACAATGAGGATTTAACTTTCTTATACCTACCCGTGTCCCTAATACACACACATATACACACCTTTTCTCTTTCCTCATTCTCCCAATATAGTAATATAATTTATAGTTAATTTAATGTTGAGTATTTCCATTATTGTGATTATATAAGTATTTTTCAAAGATGAGCATGTAATGTATTACAATTAAATTTCCTTTCTTTCTCAATTTTTTGTTTTCCAAACAGTTTATAATTACTTTTTTTTTCATTTGCTTGGTTTTGCATGCATCTGTCATCAATTCATCTCCAAATTCTTCCTAGAAGTAAAAATTTCATTCTGTTCAAAAGTATTGAGTAACCTATCATTTTATCTTTTTCTTAGAGACACCCTCTCTAGGGCCCTCCATCCTCTTTTGGTACAGTCTGGATTGGTTATTCTTTAGGCCTGCTCTAGAGCTCTTATCCTGGACTCGCCCTTCACTGTCACCCTAGGTGTTATTTTTACTTCTCTCCTCTGTTGGATCCCCTTTCTCCTAAATCCCATATCTTCCTCTCATGGTTTACTTTCTCATTTTTCTGGAGCACATCCTATGGTAACTTCTTGGAAGGGTGCAAAGGAAGTAAATTTTTTGAAACCTTACATTTCTAAAACAGTTTTTTTTCTGCCATCACATTTGATTGCTAATTCCTCTGGACATAGTTGTTTTTCACAGAATTTTGAAAAGTATAGCCCCAATGTCTTTTAGCTTCTCATATTGCTGTTAAGAAGTATGATGATGCTCCGACTCCCAAAAGTTTTTATAATTATCTCTTTGTCCTCAGGGTTATGAAAGGACCACATGGCAAGTCCTTTAATCTGGAAATGTGTCCTTAAGTTCTGAGAAATTTTCTTGCATTTTTCTCTGTTAACTCCTCTATTTTCTCTGTTCTCTTTTTCTAATATTTCTGGCATTTTGACATTGGAACTCCTAGACTGAATCTCTGATTTTCTTATGTTTCTGCTTTCCTTTTCCATCTTTTCCTTCTAATTTCTGACGGATTACTTCAATTTCCAAACCATTTGTTGAATTTTTCATTTTTATAATATTTTAATTTCCAAAAATTGTATTTGTTCTCATAATATTCCTTTTTCATAGTCTCCTATTGTTCTTTTATGGATGCAGTAGCTTCTCAGTTCTGAGGATATTATAGGTTTGTTTTGTTTTTTTATACTCTTTCACTTTCTCTAATTCCTCTGAGCTTTTATTTTTTGATGGTTTGTTTTGATCTCCCGTTTTCAATCTTAGAGGTTCAAGTATCTGGCTATTCTTTCATATTTAAGAGGAAGGCAGTAAAAAGCAAATAAATGCTAATCGGAAGCTCTGTGCACATGGATAGAGCTTATCAACTCGCATCTATGTCTTTTCTCTTGGGCAGTCAGTTTTCACAGAGAGAGACCCTCCAAACTCATGCCTTGAAGATATAAACCTGTTAGACTTCTGAAAGCCAGTTGAGGGAAGGGAACTGGGAAGGTCTCAGCATGCAGTATATAAACTTTCTCTTAATTCCCTTTTTCAGTAGACCGCTACTCGCAAATGTACCTGGTGTCCCTGAGTTCAGATACTCTCCAGTTCAACATCACTAGGAAATAAACCTTTAGTCTTGGGGTGGTGGAAGGCAGGATGGGTAGCAATACCTGGTTGAGAAGGGAAGAGAGGAAATCTGGGATCTAATCTTATGTTCAGACTTGCAGTCAAGTCTCCTATTTTCAGTTCCATTTGATCTTCTACCTTCAGAGGTACTTGATGCCTCCAATTTTTCAGCCTTTCTAGGATTTTGTGGTAAGAATTGGCTTGCTTCTAGGTTTCCTGCGCTGCTGACTTAGGTTTCAGCTTTCTTGAATCTGCTAAACCAGTGTCATTCTTCTATTTTCCAGCTTCCAGTGGTTTATTGCTCTCATCTGCCCTCCCCTTCTTTATCTGTGGGTCGTTTTTTATCTCTTCACTGTCATGGTGGCATTTTGTAAGGGATTGGAGGGAATCCCGTACATTCAGTTCCCCTACTTTAACAGGAAGTCTATCCTAATCCTGATTTCCTTTCTCCTTTCTTCTCTTTCCCAGAATTTGCCCACCAGTGTCCTTCCATTTGCCACCAGGTGTTACTTCTAATCAGGAATTTTTTCGTCCCAGACCCACACAGAGTAGCCCACTTCTCTACTTATTTCTAGATGAAGCACGAAGGCTTCCTGAGGGTCTTCACAGGGTTTTTATTGTTAGTAACTACCAAAAGAATAGATAGGGGTAAAATAAACAGGGAGAAACTCCCAGTCCTGAGAGCTAGCTATGTGAAATCAGAATTCCTTTTGTTCTTAAACGTACTTTCTACTACAAGGGGTGCATCTTAGTTCTAATATTTGGAGGCTTTATGAAAAGTTAATATTCACAAGACCTTTTATGATTTTATAAACTTCAACAATCTCACTTCTAGTCTGAAGCTTTTTAGTCTATCCTCATATAAACATCTGAGTATTCCTGGGATACTATTAGTATTCATGGGATAATATTAGTGCTTTGCACATAGAAAGTATCTAAATTTGAAATGGCTCAAAGCATTTTCATCATACTAATTTCTGTATTTTAAATAGCTTTAAAGAAAAGTACCACGCTTACATTTAACTCCATCCTCCCCTCATTTTACATTCCAGTCATCAGTTCTCTCTTTCAAACATCGTTGCAACATGTCAGTTTATCTCTGCAGCCATTCTAACTTGGTAAGGGTAACACCTACAAGAGCTGTTAAGTCATTGACACTGCCTTCCAGGAGGGATCAACAGTATAATCCTCTCCCTCCACTGACTTTTAGTGCAGTCAGCACATTTCTCCAATAGCATTGCATATATGATCTCATTTAATATTCATGTCAGCTCTAGAGGAAATACATAGTGTAGACTCAGGAACCTTTGAAATTGATAATCCAGGAACAATTGAGGTTATTTCAAAGACAGAGTTTGAAGGGAAGAGGGCAAAAGTTGTAAAGAGTCTTGACTCCAGCTGTTCTTTGTTATTCTCAGGTGCTTTCTTCACCTCTGTAAGACTGGACACTTTAAGTTCCCTTCAGACATCAAAGGAGGACTTTGCCTGGTCCATTGTTTCACAAGTCATCTATTATCTACTTGTCTGTTACTATGCCTTCATACAGGTGAACTGAAAATGTTAGATGTAAGAAATTCTCTAGGTTACCAGATATTATTTGGGGAACTCCACAATGAGCTATTACTAGAATTATGGCTATAATTTTGGTCGTTTCCAGAAGCCTGAATTCAGTTAAAGGCTAACTGGCTTTCCACCAAGTAGCTAGCTTTTTCAATTTTCAAGAGTTAAAGAAGTAAGTCTGGAGAAAGAATGTTATTTTCTGTACAGTTGTATTGCCCTTATAAGGTAATCATAGCAAGAGATTAAAAGTATGATGAACAGAGCAAGTATTCAGAAATCCAGATGATTGCACCCAAAAAAGAATATATCTTAAGCCAAACACAATGTTTTCCTTATTTTCAGGCTTGATAACTAATTTAGAAACTTTATTATTATTTACTTTTAAGTTTAAGCAACAAGAAAAAGAATGAATGTATCCAATGAAAGCTGTATTAGAGAAGGCCAACTTTTCTGTAGGCAGCAGCTTTGAGTTACTACAGAGCAACCAAGACCATAACCCATTGTGTCCAGGTTAGATTTGACAAGTCCCCAGCCGAGTGCTTTGCCAGGGTTCCTAACACTTCATTAGGGAGAAACCCAGCTAATCTTTCAGGCAAACAGTAGTGACTGTGGTGTCCATGTTTAGGGTCGTCGGCTGAAACAGCAGAGGTGGAGGTTCTTCACTAGGAAAAGAAACATTCTGGACACGAGCATAATCCTCATTAGTTTTGCCATCTTGGGGCTTGAAGTGAAGCTTATGTCTCTACATAAGAAAAACATGGCACAACACCGCTATGACCGGGACAGGTAAGAGGGAGCCTGAGGAGCAGAGAATATTCCTACTCAGTGTCCAAAGTTTCCTGATTATACACAAGTAGAGGCATACCTCATCTTATTGGACTTCGCAGATAGTGCGTTTTTCCAAATTCAAAGTTTGTGGCAACCCTGTGTCGAGCAAGTCTATTGGTGCCATTTTTCCAACAGCATTTGCTCACTTCATGTCTCTGTACCATATTTTGGTAATTCTCATAATATTTCAAACTTTTTCATTATTATTATACTTGTTACGGTGTCTGTGACCAGTGATCTTTGATGTTACTATTGTAATTGTTTTGAGGTGCTACAAACTGTGCCTATACAAGATGGCAAACTTAATGATAAATGTTGTGTGTGTTCTGACTGCTCCACTGACTGGCCCTTCTTCCATCTCTCACTCTCTCCTTGGGCCTCCCTATTCCCTGAAAAACAACCATGCTAAAATTAGGCCAATTAATAACCCCACAATGGCCTCTAAGTGTTCAAGTGAAAGGAAGAGTCACATATCTCTCATTTTAAATCAAATGCCTGAAATGATTAAGCTTGGTAAGGAAGGCATGTTGAAAGCCGAGACAGGCCGAGAGCTAGGCCTCTAGTGCCAGTTAGCCAACTTGTGAATGCAAAGAAAAAGTTCTTGAAGGAAATTAAAAGTGCTACTCCAGTGAACACATGAATGATAAGAAAGTGAAACAGCCTTATTGCTGATATGGAGAAAGTTTTAGTGGTCTGGATAAAAGATCAAAGCAGCCACAACATTCCTTTAAGCCAAACTCTAATCCAGAGTAAGACCCTAACTCTCTTCAATTCTGTGAAGGCTGAGAGAGATGAGGAAGCTGCAGAAGAAATGTTTAAGCTAGCAGAGGTTGGTTCATGAGGTTAAGGAAAGAAGCCATCTCCATAACATAAAAGTGCAAAGTGAAGCAGCAAGTGCTGATGTGGAAGCTACAGCGAGTTATCCAGAAGATCTAGCTAAGATAATTAATGAAGGTGGCTACACTAAACAACAGATTTTCAATGAAGACAAAACATCTTTACATTCGTAGAAGATGCCATCTAGGACTTTCATAACTAGAAAGGAGAAGTCAATGCCTGGCTTCAAAGCTTCAAAGGACAGGCTGACTCTCTTGTTAGGGGCTAATGCAGCTGGTGACTTTAAGTTGAAGCCAATGCTCATTTACCATTCTGAAAATTCTAGGGCCCTTAAGAATTATGTTAAATCTACTCTGCCTGTGCTCTGTAAATGGAACAATAAAGCCTGGATGACAGCACATCTATTTACAACATGGTTTACTGAATATTTTAAGCCCACTGTTGAGATCTACTGCTCTGAACAAAACATTCCTTTCAAAATATTACTGCTCATTGACAATGCACCTGGGTACCCAAAAGCTCTAATGGAGATGTACAATGAGATTAATGTTGTTTTCATGCCTACTAACACAACATCCATTCTACAGCCTAAGGATCAAGGAATAATTTCGACATATAATTCTTATTATTTAAGGAATACATTTCATAAGGCTATGGCTGCCATAGATAGTGATTCCTCTGGTGGATCTGGGCAAAGTAAATTGAAAACCTTCTGGGGGCCGGCCCCGTGGCTTGGTGGTTAAGTGAGCGCGCTCCACTGCTGGCGACCCGGGTTCAGATCCCGGGCTCGCACCGACGCGCTGCTTCTCTGGCCATGCTGAGGCCGCGTCCCACATACAGCAACTAGAAGGATGTGCAGCTATGACACACAACTATCTACTGGGGCTTTGGGGGGAAAAAATAAATAAATAAAATCTTTAAAAAAAAAAAAAAGAAAGAAAACCTTCTGGAAAGCATTCACCATTCTAGACGTCATTAAGAACATTCGTGATTTATGGGAAGAGGTCAAAATATCAACATTAACAGGAGTTTGGAAGAAGTTGACTCCAACCCTCGTGGATGACTTTGAGGGGTTTAAGACTTCATTGGAGGAAGTAACTGCAGATGTGGTGGAAACAGCAAGAGAACTAGAATTAGAAGTGGAGCCTGAAGATGTGACTGAATTGCTGCAATCTCATGATAAAACTTTAGCGGATGAGGAGTTGCTTCTTATGGATGAGCAAAGTGGTTTCTTGAGATGGAATCTACTCCTGGTGAAGATACTGTGAAGATTGTTGAAATGACAACAAAGGATTTAGAGTATTACATAAACTTAGTTGATAAAGCAGCAGCAGGGTTTGAGAGGACTGAGTCCAATTTTGAAAGAAGTTCTGTGGGTAAAGTGCTATCAAACAGCATCACATGCTACAGAGAAATCGTTCGTGAAGGGAAGGGTCAATTGATGCGGCAAACTTCACTGTTGTGAAACTTTCTTATTTTAATAAACTGCCACAGCCACCCCAGCCTTTAGCAACCAGCACCCTGATCAGTCAGCAGCCAACGACATCGAGGCAAGACCCTCCACCACCAAAAAGATTATGACTGGCTGAAGGCTCACATGATGGTTAGCATTTTTAAATTAAGGTATGTATGTTGTTTTTAGACATAATGCTATTGCACACTTAATAGACTACAGTATAGTAAACCTAACTTTTATATGCACTGGGAAACCAAAAAATTAATGTGATTCACTTTATTGCAATATTCGCTTTACCGTGGTGGTCTGGATCTGAACCCACAATATCTCTGAGGTATGCCTGTATTCTTTCACACTCCCCCTCCTCCTCCACTGTTCTACCAGATCTATATTTGTATAATACCAGAGTTAAACATAGAACTCAGACTAATGTCCACAGCAGAGAAAACAATTAACTAGAAACCTTTTATTCTGCTAATCACATTGAAAAGCTCTTGTCTTCACAGTACTTAGGTATGTGCTTATCAAAGATAATGCATTTAAATTTCACATAACAAGGGCCTGAAATTGGTCATTATTTTGCACTCTGGTGAAGGAATAAAGCCAAAGACATGACAAATGCTCATCCTTTAAATAAAACCACGACACCCCCTTTAAATTCAAAGAGTGTTGCTTTCTGGGTAGAGATGTTCATCTATTAGCTCATCCATACTGAGAGACATTCTCTCTCTTCTCTGGTCTTTCTCATGGGGAAGAGCATCTATTTCGCAGACCAAGTATTGCCACGTGGTGCTTTTCTGATCTTTCAGTGGTCATCAGCCTGGGCCACCGATCTGTCTAAGACTGAGGCAGTGTCCAGGAAGGCCTTGCAGAGGGTTTTTAAGCAGGGACAGTGAGTCTGTTGCAGTTTGAATGGTGTTAGCAGCTGAGGTCCAGCCTGCTGTGTGGCATTGCGTAGGTCTAAGACAATAAAAGAATTGTGACCGAGTGCCAACTTACTCATATCTATGGAGGTCTTTCCAAGTAACCTAGTTGCTGCAACAGAAAATTATAAATGCAGGGGCCAGCCGGTGGCATAGTGGTTAAATTCGTATGCTCCACTTCAGCGGCCCAGGGTTCACAGGTTCGGATCCTGGGTGCGGACCTATGCACCGCTTATCAAGCCATGCTGTGGCAGGCGTCCCACATATAAAGTAGAGGAAGATGGGCACGGATGTTAGCCCAGGGCTAATCTTCCTCACCAAAAAAACCCCCAAAACATTATAAATGCATCTCTCACATAACAAAACCCAATTGGTAAAAAAGAAAAAAAATTCTAATACAAATTAAAGGATCAATTATCTCCTGCTGGAGAACAATATAGGATTAGAGTGTTACAGAAAACAGACTAGCATAATAGCACATCTCATTAGGTTAACTCATCTCCTTTTAAGAGGAGACATTTAACTTAAACCAGAACAGTGGAGGAGGGTGGCCTTGATTTGCAGAATGAATTTGGAGTAAAAAAATCAGCTAGGGGTTGCATTTCAAGGTTTCTTCAGCCCAGCTCCCAACCAATATGTGGCCTTTTGCCAGTGCTCTCACATCCACAAATACAGGAGGCTACCCTGGAAAGCAGAGTTCTTACGTCAACAAGTGTTTAACCTAATAGGACTCACAGAGCTGCTGTACTTCAGCAGCAGGAGCACTGGAGAAACTGACATCGCAGGAATTGATAATGGCAGACACTTCAAGCCGAATAACTGTCCGCCTTCCTTGGTTACAGGTTCATCAGCTTCGATGAGGCAGTAAAAGTGAACTCAGCTGTCATTCACCTCATGGGCTTCCTGGTTCTGTTGGCAACTGTTCAGCTATGGAACCTGCTGCATCTTATCCCCAGGCTGCAGGTCATCAGCAGAACACTCAGCAAAGCCTGGGACGAGGTGGTGGGCTTCTTGCTGGTCATCCTGATCCTGCTGACAGGCTATGCCATTGCTGTAAGCCCCCATTCCCAGTGTCTGTCTTCTCCTAAGTGCTGTGGTCTTGGAATCATGTTGCTTCCCTTAGAGAAGATCACTCTATGGAAAACCATCAGTTCAAGTGGGCAAAGAGTTTTGGAGAAAAGTTTAGGTTTTAGTTGTAGTTCCATACTTAACTAGCAATGACTTAAACTCATGTTTGTCTCATATCTAAAATGGGGATAAAATTTAGCTCACAGGAAAATGTGAAGGTCAAATAAATTTATATGAAAACACTATGTAATTACAAAGGAATTTTATATATTCTTTTAGTCGTAATAATTTGAATGGCCACGAAGGAATTTCTTCAATTTTCATTCCATTGGCTTCACGTTGGCCTCATCATTATCAAGCACCTCGGGACAGAAAGAACTGCAATTGGCTCCTCTGCTCTCCACCCCCCCTGACTGATCTTTCTCCTTCTTTTCAGTTTAACCTGCTGTTTGGATGGAGCATCTCTGACTACCGAACTTTTTTCAGCTCAGCAGTGACTATTGTTGGTCTCCTGATGGGAATGTCTCAACACAAGGAGGTGAAAACCCCCATCCTGGCTTCCCTGTGGAATTCTATTTGGTTAATATGTCTAACGAGGGGAGAACTGCTTATAAAAGCAGCCCCTACTGTACCAATGCACACTGCATAAGAGAGCGATTTAGGTCCTTTGCCATTCTGTTTAATGGTACTGCCTATGCATACGGCATTTGAGTGGCTATTAGTTTCAGAAATCTGGCTTTTTCTTAGCACGTAGTACCACCTTCCTCACCTCTTGTATCCGTAATCTTATTGCCCAAGGACGCTGGGCCTCAACTTCTGCTCCCGCACCGGGCCAGATTAACATGATTTGCTGCTTCTTTCTCAACGGCCCTTTGAAGTGTACAATGGAAGTGACCTAAACAAAATTAAGGAGGTACAATTCCAGGAAGAACTGCAATATTTCTGTTCATAATTAATACTTATTGCAGAGAGCCTATTATTTTCCCCCAGGAACTACCAACACAAATCTCTTTTTATTCAACATAAAAAATAAAGTAGGAAACCCAGATGAGGATTGGGGTCCCAAACACTAGCATATAAAAATTTGATCAGGGAAGAAAAACTGCAATTCAAGTTAGTGAAACTGCCAAGATTTTCATCAAGGCTTATCATTCTGATAATCTAGAAGTCAAAGGTTACTAATTAAAATGGGTAAGTTAACATAGTTTCTAATGTGGAAAGTTACCACCTTCTTAAGACACAAGGAAGGATATAACTGCTATTTTGGGGGGACTATTTTGTTGTGATTCTAGCCGCAATCACTAGGAAACGAAGCCCTCACCCCTGGACCACTTTATATATTAAAGCTCTTAAGGAAGTAACAATCAGAATGAGAAACTGTTGCTAACACCTACTTTTTGACTTAAAAAAAAATAAAAGGCTGTCTGCTCTAATTATAATCATACAATATGAAGGACAAATGGCATATATTTACTGGGAAAAGTTTTGCATCACAAACTTCAAAGAGATTGCCCAAACTATTTGATTGACCTGGAGTTGTTACAATTAAGAACTTTTAAGTAAGTGGATGATAGGTTGGTACTAGGAAATGTTTTGTCATATAGGAGATTTCCATGACAGTGGTATTTATTATATGTATTCATCCTAAGTTGCTGGGTTTTGTTTTGTTTTTTTTTAAAGTGTCCTAGTGGCAACAATGAATGAGCCAATACTCAGGGAAAATAAATATCATTTGTTAAAATGAACACCTAAATGAAAAGAATATTGTTATGGAAACCATTTTAGTATAAACTTGAGAAAGCTCTTTATACTGAAAAGTAAACAATGGCACAACTCAGTACTTACACTTTTAAAGATACCAATGGAAAAAATCCATACTAAATTAAGTCAATTTTCTATGACTAACCTGTTAAAGTTTATTGGGATGCTACTGTGTTTAGAGTAGAAGGTTCTTGGAATGGCAAGATAGTTTTCATTATCATTTTTGTTATGTATGTATTCTTTCAATACTTTCACTACTCCTTGAAGCTTTGTTTATATTTTCCAGAATTGCCAAGACTCATATGGGCTTTGAATCATTTATAATTCCATTGCAACTCACCAGTTTTCTTCTGGTGAAAGCCCTGAAGGCACAATTATTTTTACACCCTTTGTTAGTCACTCTTGCTCCTCTGTCCACTCAAAAGTATTTTTTTCTCTCTAGTTTCCACTAGACATAAATGTTTCTTCATATGAATATATACCAAACATTAGCATATAACTTACATTTTTGAAGTAGAAATTAAAGTGTCAGTGTTTAAACTCAAAAGTGTTTTATTGTCCATCCAGGTTATTGCTTTAGACCCAGTCCTGGGCTCCTTTCTGATCCTCACCAGTGTCATCTTGATGGTACTTGTGATCATTAACCTTTTTGTTTCTGCCATTCTAATGGCCTTTGGTAAAGAAAGAAAGTCCCTTAAGGTAGGTAACTCTATGGCTCGGTGATTGAAATATAAACTGTATCATGATTTTATATCACTGGAAAAGCTCAACTGTAGCTGCTCTCAAGATTACAGACTGACATAATGCACAGTATCAGCATATTCCCTTTATTAGTCTCCATAACTCTGCCATTTTCCTAGGAAACCCAATTTACCAAGACTACATTATGGTCTATATCCACTGTCCTATAAATAGCTGGCCCTCAATTGTTAAGTAGCAGAAACACCCCAATGCCTGACAGTAAATCATTAAACAGTATCTTTACTATTTACTTTATATTTACTGGCTTTTTGTATCTTTGGTACTTTTATCCTCCAACATTAGCAACAATTTCAATTTCCTCACTTTTCTCCTCAAATAGACTCGGAAAGAAGCTACACTGATAGATATGCTGCTACAGAAGCTCTCAAGTTTGTTAGGAATCCAGCGGCACCAGAACACGTGAGCAAAGAGCCATGACAACAATGGGCATTGACACTGACGTTTTATTACCTCCTAGCTTAGCTTATTACTTCTCAGTATATTAATACTTATCTTTGCATGACATAGATTAGGAAATTGAAGATGTTTATAATTTGTTGTTGTTAGTGCCATCAAGTTGATTCCGACTCCTAGTGACCCTGTGTACAGCACAGTGGAACCCTGCCTGGTCTTTTTGTGCCATCCTTTCATCTTCTGGCACGATATCAGACAAAGCTCCACGGCTATTCACAGGGTTTTCATGGCCAATTTTTTTGGAAGTGGGTGGCCAGATCCTTCTTCACAGTCTGTCTAGTCTGTAAGCTCTGCTGAAACCTGTCCACCATGGGTGACCATGGTATTGAAATAGTGGTGGCATAGCTTTCAGCGTAACAGCAACATGCAGCTACCACAGTATGACAACTGACAGACAGGTGGTATAGTTCCCTGACAAGGAAGTGAACCCAGGCCTCGGCAGTGAGAGCGCCCATCTTCACCACCACTGCCTATGTTTAGAACACATTTTATTTTATAAGTCAGTGAGGAATCAAAATCCCCTTGGCTGCAAGTTCTTATGTTTATGGATCTTGGCACTGTCAAAGAAGGGTTAACACTGCAAGAGGGACAGAAGATAAACCAGCTCTGCTGCCAAGCAGCAAGTAACAGGACACTCACCACCTATGTTCCAGGATGGCTGTGGGAAATATGCATGAGTCAGAAGTGAGCTCACTGCAACTTATTAAAAATAAAGATACAAGCATGAGATATGGTTGATGGGCAGCCCTGTCCCAGAGTAACCAAGCAAACTCACAGATGCTATCTGGGCTTAAACAGAGACTGAAATGGACTCCTTACTGCTGCAGGTATCCATATTACCCAGGGAGCCAAAGGTAAAGTCTGGCTTGTGCCCAGCATGGGTCACTCGTTTAAAATACTCTCTCCTAGAGGACGTGGAGAGAAGGGAACTCTCATACACTGCTGGTGGGAGTGCAAACTGGTGCAGCCACTATGGAAAACAGTACGGAGATTCCTCAAAAAATCAAGGATAGAACTACCATATGATCCAGCTATTCCACTGGTGGGTATTTATCCAAAGAACTTGAAAACACCAATGCACAAAGATACATGCACCCCTGTGTTCATTGCAGCGTTATTCACAATAGCCAAGACTTGGAAGCAACCTAAGTGCCCATCAAGGGACGAATGGATAAAGAAGATGTGGTATATATACACAATGGACTACTACTCAGCCATAAGAAACGATGAAATCCAGCCATTTGTGACAACATGGATGGACACTGAGGGTATTATGCAAAGTGAAATAAGTCAGAGGGAGGTCAGATACCGTATGATTTCCCTCATTAAGTGGTAGATAATAACAACAACAAACAAACACATAGAGACAGAGATTGGATTGGTGGTTACCAGAGGGGAAGGGGGGAGGGAGGAGGGCAAAAGGGATAATTTGGCACAAGTGTGTGGTGATGGGTTGTAGTATTTGCGTGGTGAACATGATGTAATCTATGCAGAAACAGAAGTATAATGATGTACACCTGAAACTTATACAATGTTATAAACCAATGTTACTGCAATAAACAAAAAATTTAAAAAAAAAATCGGAAAAAAATAAAATAAAATAATAAAATACTCTCTCCTAAAACCCAAATTTGCACCTCATCATTTGACCAAATCAGTGGAGAACACAGGGCACAGAATTTTTCACTTTATTATCAGCTACTGAGCTATGATACAAACCAATCAAAAACATTAAAGGAAAGTTGCTTGAAATAGGTATGTACAGATATACTACACAGAAGCCGAAGTCATGTCTTCCAATCCCAAAGCCATCCCTGTGGGGAAGGATGGCCTTAGCTAGGGAGCAAAGGAGCACATAAGTTACAACAGTTAAGGGTCTCATCCATCAAGGAAAGCAGCAAACAATTACAGCCACAGGGGCACCAAAGGTTTATCTGAGATCAGTTTTTAAAGGTTCTCTTAATCATAAAGTTTTCAAACGAAAACAGGAACCCCTTTTCTCCTGTAGGCTTTCCAGCTCACTACTCAAGAGACTTGAGTACTTCTATTAAGGCAACTGGAAGCCCACCTTAGCCTTGAATGGTGACTTGTGCCCAATATGTGGCCTATCCTTCCTTTGCCAGTAATGCAACCCAACAGAACATGCTATGGGGAAAAAACAGGAATTTATACAGTGCTGCCCTCTGGTAAAAGGGAAACACAGCACTCAAAATAAAGCAAAAGGCCACAGAGGGCTCCCTGAGAATCCAGTGGAACTAAGAGAGGCCTTCAACTTTCCAAATAAACTTTGCAACTGGATCCAGGTAGAACAGTGCCCTGCAGCAAGTAGTAGTGTATATGCCAATGAGAGGACCGACCCAGCTTCCAAACACTGTTACAATGGCTTCCTGAGTCATTTTCTCTCCCATTCATATTAGAGTGAGAAAATACGCACCTTGGCCTTGATTCTCACTCACCACAAATCCCTCTGTACAGAGGGTTTATTTCTAAGTCTAGAACCTCAGCACAGGGCTGAGACACTTCATTAAGTATTCTCTGCCATTGTCCAGTCACCTTTGGCAGCTCACCCCACAGGCTTTCACCTTCTCACTCCCCTGTGGAAGGACAGTGGGACAGGTGAGTAGAAAACCTGGGATCACACTGACAGGAAATGGACAAGCACGCTGCCAGGAGCCAGATGCTCCGGCCTCATAGTGTCTCCAGTTGTTAGTCTCTCAGGAGCAACAAAGAACTGGAAAGCAGCAGAATTTGGTAGAGCAGGAAGAGAGCCCAGAGGAAGAGTGTGCTCAGTGATCATTAACAGATGAAACAGAATTTCATGGAGATTCTTTGTTACAAGTAGAAACTGCTCAGTCTCAACTCCCAGAATTTAGATATTGCCTGGTTTGAGAGGCCTATGTTTTCTTTTTCAACTCTTCAAATCTCCGGGAAAGATCATCAAAGTCAATGTCCTCAGATGCTGAGGTGTTGGCACCAGCAGACGCAGTTGGTAATGTGTCTGGCACAGAGGGCAACTCTGGTAGTACGAAGTTGTCACAGGTATCCACAGGTCTGGAAGGGGGCCTTGCAGAAGCTTCTGGCTTGGGTCCAGGACCTAATTAAATGTGGGCAAGGAACACAGTGTTACAAACTCCAGGGAAGAGGCTCAGATCCTCAAAGCCCACAACTTCCTTTGGCAGAAACAATAAAAATACAGGAGAAAACACTGTTTTTTTGTTGGTTTTTTTGTTTGTTTGTTTGTTTTTTGTGAGGAAGATCAGCCCTGAGCTAACATCCATGCCAATCCTCCTCTTTTTTTGCTGAGGAAGACTGGCCCTGAGCTAACATCCGTGCCCATCTTCCTCCACTCTACGTGGAATGCCGCCACAGCATGGCCTGACAAGCGGTGCATTGGTGCGTGCCCGGGATCCGAACCCGGGCCGCCAGCAGCAGAGCACGTGCACTTAACCACTACGCCACGGGGCCGGCCCCAACACTGTTTTTTTTTTTAAAAAAAAAAAAGATTAATATTTAATTTTTAGGTCAATGAAAATTTTCAGGACAATTAACATCTACATTTTCTAATTATAGCTGAATCCTATCTGTTTTACTTTCTTATGGTGAGAAAAAAGTTTAAGGGAAAGTCAAAGTGTGGTGCATGGGGCTAGATACACAGAGCATTTATTTAAACAGACTGTCCCCTTTCACAAAGGTCTGCTCCCATAAGAACCAAGTCCAAGGAGTGGTACTAGAATTCTGTTGGGATGAGCTACTCTTTCAGGCTTAGGAGAAAAAATTTTTATAAGGAATGTTAACGTCCATATTGTTTTATATAATAGGATCTGATCGGTATTTCCAGTCTTCTGTTTTGTATTTTACTAGTCAAAATCATCCCCCTCTCTACCTACTGTATGTTTCCATTTATATCTAAGTTCTAGAACAGGCAAACCTAAACTATAGTCCTAGAAAATAAAAACAGTTACTTCCCTCCTGGGTAGAGGGGTGGAGCTGACTGTAAAGGAACACAAGGGAACTTTCTGGGGTGATGGAAATGTTCTATCTCTTTACTGACGTGGTGGATACATATATATGTATATCTCAAAACTCATCAAAATATATACTTCTGTGTATTTTTTGTATGTAAACTGTAAAACAACTGTCTTCAATTTTAAAGAGTTTCCCCCCCTCTGGGTTTCTGGAGTGCTGATAGTGTTTTATTTTTTGAGTGGATGCTTAGTGAAAAATCACTGAGCTATTCACTTATGATTTGTACCTATTTCTGCCTCTTTAATGCCCAAATTAAAAAAATACATTTTTTTGTATTTTCTGGCATAATGGAAATTGAAGCAGCAGGAACATAAAGAACTCGAAGGTGACTGAAAACTAGAAATTGAAAAAATGAGTAAAAAAAGAATAATGATACCACTAACAGAAACAGGGAACTTGGGAGATTCTTTGGGATCGGGAAAGATCTTTCCTTTTTGGAAGAGGGCAATCCTGAGTTCTGTTTCTGCCATACTGCATTTGGGGAGAGGATAGGGCATGGACTGAAAAATAGTCTCTGAAGGAGAAGCAGGAATGAGAAAACAGCAAAGGGTTCAACACTGAGCCTTGAGGGTTTCTGACTCACACTCACCAACAATCTGTGTAGAAGAGACATTCTTATCAGCATTAATGTCATCAACCTGAAATACAAAGATTGTTACCAGAAGAGAGAGCAATGGCATCCCTGAGAAAGTACTAAGACTGGTATAAGCCCCTGTGTTTTCCAAAAGCTAAGCAGCTCAGCAAAAGCAACAGACCTTGCTCCAAAGAAACTGCTCCTCCACCCCCTGTACCTTCCTGCTCTTGTTCCAACCAGACAGATACCATGTTGAACTCTTAACTGCCAAGCAGAGAAAAAAAATTCTTACACCATAACACCTCTCTTTAATCTGATACCTTCACCTTCTGGGCAGAGAGAAAGCACTAAACCACTGAATTCATCTCCAAGAACCAAGTCCTCAAACACCAATGAAGATCTTCTACTTCATTCCTAGAAACAGTTGCGGGC